CAGCCAATGGGAGCCCCCCTCGCGGGCACCTTGGTGGCGTTCGCTGAGGGAGGACCCGGACCGCCAAAAGCCGCCCAACGGAGAAGGCGGGGCCTCCAGCAGACCCGCCCCCCGAGGACGCCAGAGTCGCAGGCCCCCGTGCGGTAGCTGAGGGCCCCTGGAGAGTTCTGCGGAGCTCGGAACGACGCTGAAAATTTGTTTAAAGCGTCCGGGACCTACAAAAGGCACCATGGTGGCGTCTCCCCTGGCGCGCGGGGCCTGCGGTCCCCCTTTCCTCTTCCCCTCCCCGCTGGCCGCGGCCGCAGCTTCCCGAACTCTAGCAGCCCCAGGCCTGTGACGCCTCCATCCTCAGCTAGGGGCCGCGTGGGCCCCAAGGCTAGTGACACTCAGCGGGGAGCCGCCTAAAAGAAGCTCCCCATCCCCCGTCCAGTAAATTATTTTGAACCAAGAGCCTCCGCTGCACAGGAGATGCCGCGCCGTCTGGGCCCGGCCGAGGGCAGCGCGCCAGCCCTTCTGCAGCTCCGAGCTCTGAGCAGCCGGCTCTGGCTCGGGTCTCTGGGGCCCCCGGTGCCAACCTGGGCCCAGAGGGAGGGGAAGCCGCCCACGGGCCCGCGTCCGGCTCCGGGCGACTAACCGCGCTTCTCTCCACTCTCCCCGCAAAAAAAGTTTCAGGATCGCGCAGGCCTCGCTGCGTCGTTCTTCGTTGTGGCGGCCTGAAAAACACGATGGGGCCTGAAAACCGCAAGCGTTTGACCCTGACTTTATTTTTTATTTTTTTTCCCTCCGCGCATGCAACCGAGTTCCTGAATGGTTGGAGGAGGATGCGGGTCCGTGGATGGAAGCCAGCGGCAGAGAACGCGGGACTGACTGCAAAGTTAAATGCTCGATTCCAGAGAAGAGAGTTCTCATCCTCCATGTGGTTGGAACATGGCACCCACGGGTCCGAGCGCACGTCTTCCAGGATCCGTGGGCCCCATGGCCGCGCCGCAGGGACTCGGACAGCTCTGACAAGGCACTGTCTGCGCACCAAGCCCTGGGGCTCGGCGTTCACTCCCTGCCACGGGCCCCAATCACTCCCGGGACTTCGGGGGAAACCGCCGCCTCCTCACCCGCGACCCAGGCGAGGCTAGCGGGCCTAAGAACGGGACACAAAAGGGAGGGCCACCAAAAGGATCAAGTCCCCACTTATTCCGGATTATAGACACAGATGAGCTCCCCGGACTCTCTGGAATGAAAGCGCGCCCGATTTCCCCGACGCTTTGGAGACTGGGTTGGAATTTCGTTGCCCCCGGCGTTTGACAGGTGCAAACGACGAATTCCAAACTTCCTGGGCAAAAAAGCAAAAGACCTAACAGCGACTATCAGAGCCTAGCCTGGATCGACCCCTGTCTTGTCCACGCTATTTCGTAGTAGCCAAACGAAATCAATCCTCGCGTGCGCTCCAGGACAGATGGGTTTGGCCCAACGCCGACCACCAGCAGAGCTGGCCCTTTCCCCACTCAGGATCTCAGTCCCCCCTCTCAGACCATTTCGAAAGCTGGGACAGTGAGGGGCCCTTACTGGATCCTTTAACATCATCTATGCCTAGGAGTGGCGGATCGCCTGGGCCAAGGCCCATGGGCACTTGGGAGCCTTTGCAAGCGCAGCAGAATGAGGAGAGCAAGGGATCCAGGCCTCAGAGCGCCTGGCAAGGGCAGCTTCCCGTGGAAAAGCCCACCGCTCGTGGCCAGGTAGGGCTGGGGACCAGGGAGGACGGGCACCGCCTGCTGCCCTCGAGTGTCTGTGGGCCAGGCCTGGCTACTTCTGGGATTGAGGAATTCGATTTGTAGGGTGGTTTCGGTTTGCACCCGCGCCCTCCTTTTCCCCAGCGCCCGATGTCTTCCTTCCACTCGCCGCGGATTTGTGAACGGGTTTCCAGGGAATGGGGCTTCCACGGGCCCCGGAACGTGGCACGGGACCCGGCGGGGTTCGGCCCTCGGGAGGGCGCCCGCTGCCTGTGGGCGCCAGAGCCAGGAAGCGCGGATGTTGGCGCTTGGTGCCCCAGCCGGAGGTCGCAGGGGCCGCCGGGGCAGGAGCAGTCCCGGGCGCCACCGCTAGTTGGAACCTGCGCCTTGGACCCTTGCAGTTGCCCAGATCGGTCCAGCGCACAGATGTACGCCAGCTGCGGTCCTCGCGTCCAGGCACGGCGGGACGCTTCCTATGAGCTACCCTTTCTGGACAGACAGCTTGCCAATTCCTCAAAATTTGTGCCTCTACGCCTGGACAACTGACAGCTTTCTGTCAAACCGAAGGCGGCTCTCCCCACCTCCAAAGAAAGGACCCTTTCTCTTCCCCTCTCGGACAGACTGAGGTTCCCTGCTCCCTCTGACCAGCAGGATCGATCTTTTTGCACAGTCTTTTCCTGTTCCTTTGGGAAGAGGCGGAGGGGAGTGGCACAAAAGAGCAGGCCAGCCCTTCCCAATATCCACTGATGGCCAATCTGCTTCTTCCCCATGAGGGGACAGGCAGACAAAGGGCCATCTCTTTTTTACCGTTTTGACAGAGGAACAGCTGCCCACACGCTACCTGGGCAATGCCGCGATGCCCTCTCCCATCTCATTGTGGATAGACAGAAGTCTCCTCTCCTTCTCTGCAGGACTGATGGACCAACTGCCTGCCTCTATCATTTGGTCCCCATCTCAAATTGTCTGCAGCAAGGAAAGGTCTTGGCAGTCAGGACACTTCCCTCCCCTGTCTTGGCCTAGAATCGGGTAAACTGGGACCCCAACTTGGGGCCTACAGGACCCAGTTCTGGGGGTCACTTCTACCCCAGCCCTTCTCTGCAAAGAAGGGATATGCAGGGTCAGAACAACCGTATGACAGACAGGCGTCCAGCTGGCTGCTTGCCTCCCAAGGGTGTCTGCAAGTGCACTTGAGTGCGTTTGTGGTCGTGAGGTGCTAGCACTTGTCTCCCCATTGGACAAAGAGCTTCCAAAGGCAGGTCTGATTCCTCCTGGTACCTGGGTAGGAACAGGGATGCCCCAATGTGCCCAACCATGGAATGGACATGTGTGCTCTGGAGAACCTTCTGCGAGGTCCATGGTTGTGGAGAGAGAACCCCTTTTCCTAGCATATGGGGTTAAGGCTGCCCGAGTTTGTATTTTTCTGCCACCTAAGGGGAAATTGTTTCCATCTTGGGGAAATCGTTTAAAACCTCTTCATGCCTCAGTTGTTTTCATCTGTAAAGTGGGGGAAACAATAGTAGCCTCATAGAATTGCTGTATGTGAAGTGCTTAGCACAGACCTGGGATATAGGGGGTGCTCCACCCATGCAAGCTGTTGTTATTATGAAACAATAAGCTCTCTCATTCCTTGAGGGGTCCTTTGGCAAGTCCCTTTCCCTGTCTGGGCCTCACACTTCCTATCTGTGAAATGTCTCATTGCCTAGCTCTAGGTGGTCCTGCCCCCCTTGGTTTGCTGGGTCTTCCTGGGGGAGGTAGGAACCATCTGTGATCTGGCTTTAGGCAAAGTCACTTAGCCGGAGGGTTTTCCAGTAACCATCACAGGGCCACCCTGGTTTGGATCTTGACGACTCACCCTCCCTTAGGTTCTCAGATCCTAGACCCTCACTCTGAAAAACTACTGGATCCCCCAACGGACACTTTCCTAAGTAGCAAGAGTCAGCCACTGCTCCCCCTCCCCACAGAAGGCATTGCTCCCCTTTATCTCTAGTACCAAAGGAGCCCCCAGTCCAGCAAATATTTTGGACAACGCTCCTCTAGAAGCTGAAGGTTTCGCCCTCTGGCTTTCCCTACCCCTACCCCCCAGGGAGCTGTAAGGAAACGGCTCTCTGCCCAGCGCCCTCCAACTCTAGGTGGGGCACCGGGCAAGTCCTTGCCTCTCATTGAGCCATTTCCTCTACTGTGAATGGAGGTAATTCTCATCCCTCCATTTCACCACTGGGATTAAAGGTTCCCTCTTTGGGGAGTGGGTATTGTATCTAAAATGCCATCAATTGGCTGATGGGAAAGAAGAAGAAAGAAATGCTACTAATTAAATTAGGACTCACCTATATATAAAATGCTCATCTTATAATCAGTGAAAAATGGTAATATATCTAGTTTGAGAGGTTGGGACACTCGGGGGGGGGATGCTACCTCTGGGGCCATCCCTCCTGTCCACTTCAGGAGAACCTGTGATGTTCAAGAGGGAAAGTGTGCAATTATGGAGATTGGTTAGGACACCGCTACTGGACCTGCCATTGCCCGTTTGGGTGACTTTCCCCATGCGTCTGCACTTCTCTGAGCCTGGTTGCGCTCCCCTGGCCGGTAAAGGGAGAACAGTGACAGCTACCATTGCTGAGGTTTTGTCTTGCACCAAGCACTGTGCTTGGACTTTACTCGCATCGTTCATCATTCAGTTGCCCTCACAGTGATCATATGTGGCACATGTTATACCGAAGAGGAAAGTTGCCTAAAGTTTACCAGTCTCTGTTGAGGACCAAGACCA